GAACGAGACGAGGTGGCGGCTGCTGAGCGATCTCGCGGAGAGGGCCGGCGATGACGGTGCCCTGCGGCTGATGAGCGGGGGCACGAGGTACACGGACGCGCGTACGGGTTCGTGCACTACACCAGGGACTTGGAGGCGAGCGAGTGCACCAGGTGCCTCGTGCTCGCGCTCACCTTGTTGTCCGAGCGCAAGGATTTGAACAGCAGCCTGGCGGGCTCCGTGAACTAATAATTAAATCGGTTAGTATATCACTCATCTTTTCTTTTCTCTGGTATTCAATGACTCAGGGGCTGCGCCTCCACTCGGATCTGAGGACGGAGATACTGAAAAAAAGAATAATGTAGAAGTGCTCGTTCTCGCTGCTTGTGTGGGAGCCGTCGTCTTGATGTTTGTCGCTGGTGTCAAGGAACTAAATAAAGCAGCGGTGGAGGCAGGCTTTTGATTAACCAGTCACTTGTTCACGTGGATTTAGAATTTTCACCTATAGATTAGAGTTGTCATTTCACTGTTTGTATTTAAAGTTATATGTTTTATACTAATTACATTATATATTAAGCATTATCTTTTGATATTATCTTTATTGATTTGACTTTCTAAGCTCACGTATAGTGTGTATCTGGTTTTGTCCTTAAAACCAGGTGCTACACTTCGACTATAATAAAGGCCCTGTTCGCTGGTCTGAAACTTGGCTGAAACTGGCTGAAAAACACTGTTCCGGCTGAATTGTTGTGAGAGGAAAACACTGTTCCGGCTGAAAAAAGAAGTCGAATAAACCGAATATATGGTAAGCCGAACAAGGCCATAATCAAAGCAAACTATGAACATAATATAAATGAAGATTAAAGTCATGATATAGGATAAATGTAATGGACACGAGGGCTATACCAAAACCTCCGGTGACTAGATCCAGAATCCGAACAGAAGCCCAACTCTACTTGATCAACTTGGCTAAGCTATGCTAATTCTATAGTGATTTATGAGAGCTCGTCTCTTCTCTGAATGGGTCATCAATGGAGTGAATTGGGATGCCTCTCTCTGGAGGGGTCAGGGGGTCCTTTTATAGGGGGCACCCGGTACCTGTGGGCCCATGAATCCATGGAACGGCTTCATCTCGTCTCTCCAATCCAAACCGACTGCAATGCATGGTGAAGATTGATCCTCAAGGTCGGTGGAGAGTCCACGTCTGAGGAGGGGCTGACATGTCGACCCCACAGGTTGGCCAACCAATGGGTTAGGGGGGGGGGTCGGTCGACCCCCTCTGGTCTCCTCTGCCGTTGATATTTGGTGGTAAGTCACCAACGGTGGATGTGAGGCTAGTGGAGTCAGTTTTGTTGTGGATCATCTTGATTTTCTGACATAGTATGGCCCACTTTGGTCCGTATTCTAGATAAATTAGCCTGCATGAAAATATTCACCAAGACTTGTGGAAATTGTTAGTTTGAAACCTCTAAACCTACGTTGATGTTTGATTTTAAGGATAAATGCAGGTGAAATTGATGGTTTATTTTTGTTGTAGCGACGGTCAACAAGATCCCCCAAGCTTAACCTTTGGTAGTCACTAAGCAAAGTTAAACTTAAATAATAGATTATGAGTTGCTACAGTGCTTTCACTCCTCAAAAGTACACATGCGTTCAATAAAAAAATTTCCTTCGGATTGAAATAAACCGATTTAACTTTCAAACTCGCCTATATTACCTTCAACTTCCTGGGGCTTCTTAGCCATCACTTGGGTCTTGAGTAATTAAAAGACAGAGTGATCAAATCAAGCACTATGTCTCAAGTTCTTTTGCTCAACCATCATTCTAGAGTTTTTATAAATTTTTAAATAAAACTCAAAGATTCTGTTGTATGACACTCTCAGGTCTTTCTATATGTGATATTTTTAGATCCTCACCAAGGCATATCTTGTTGTTTCTTTTTCTTCCTACAACTAAAGCTTTTGTAGAGCTCATAGGTAGGGAGAAAGCATGTACATACTTGCAATGCATATGTTGTAAAGCCAAACCTCAGATCCAAAGAGAAAAATATCATACAATCAAATCAAGATATACATGTGTGTGGATATATGGTGGCTAAATATAATGGAGAAAACAAAACTTACTATGCACCTTGAAATATATCGCTCTCTTATTGAAATTTGGAATATTTTTTGAGAACATGAGATATATATATAATAAAGACAATCACAACATTGTAAATTGTCTTGGGTATACAATCTCAACATTGTGAACTAGTGTAATATACACTCTATTTTTATATATGGTTTAATTTACATGTAAAGACAATTCACATGTAAAGTGTCTTAGATTTTTGCCCCTGTTTTTTAGGGCTATTTGTGATTTTACCCTAATTTAGAATAAGACACATATATTGTATTTTGAAAATTGGTTATTATATTTGGTCAGTTCATATTTAATATTGGACAAAATATTCACAATTCACATGTTGTGATTGTCTTTACATGGTTTAATTCACATGTTGGAAAAAAATATTCACAATTCACATATTGTCTATATTTGTGATGAACTAGTGTAATATACACTCTATTTTTAGAGTACGGTATGGTCACGTACGCACATAAATAAACCATGTAAAGACAATCACACATACTCTAGCCAGTTGCACTTGTGAGAGTGCGACACCCTGTTGAGCTGTTATCCTTGTTTAGACAATCGATGAATTGCGGTGTCATCGATGTTTCTACTACGTCGATATCAATAGTAGTGACAGTGATTAAACCACCTTATTATTTATTAATCGACCGTTAAATAAAAAATCCACACCTCAATCGTGGAAGCTCTCCTATCGCAGCTTGAGTCGTCGTCCCTTGTTTCTTCAGGTGAGCTTCGTCTTCTTTCTTTACTCTGCAAAAAAAAAATCACCTTCTCACTTTGTTTTCTTGACTACCCCTGTTCAAAATTTGACCACTTAATTTTTTTAATTAGGTACAACTTTGGACGCACGCAACCCATACACTCCATACTTACACCACACGCACACGCACGCGTGCAGGTCTGTACATACGCAAAGAAAAGATCGGGAGGCTGTACAGCCTCCGGTGCGCGGGAAACGCGCAGAACCACCGAACGCGCACGTGTGTGTACCCTAAATTTTCTAAAAAAAATCCAAAAAAAAGTGCGAACACCAGGATTTAAACCTTGGTGGGTAGCGTCGAAAATGCTTACATAAGAGATGAATATGTGAGTAATATAATAGATGAATATCAACTACCCGGTTTTAGTATTATTTAAACAAAGCATGATGGGCTTGATTGGTTCGCTTTCAAAATTTGTCATGCCAAAGATTTGGCCAGCCATGATTTTGGCTAGTATTTGTTTTGCTACCAAAACTTACCGAGTTCTCATATTTGACTTGTCAAATCTTTAGCATGGTAAATTTTAGAAGTAGACCAAGCAGGCCCGTTATTCTCATAAATTGACAGACAAATATAATAGATAGAAAATAGTACTGCAATAAATCTCTACTATATATATAATACAGGACAACCCTATTTGGTACCCAGGTACTAATAGTTATTCAATACCCCACGACCCCCTGCACCAGGCCTTCCGCAGTCCGCACCCACCAGCCCTCCCGCACCAGGCCGTCCGTACCAGGCCCATGCTACAGGCCACGAGTACACACCTACTGAATCCAGCCGTTTTGTTTTTTGGTTTTTAATTTATGAGCTGGATCAGGATTTCGGTTTATACAGCCAGCTTTTGTTTTCATTTTATTTCTGAGCTAGATCGAGATTGCTTGTTTCTTTCTTTTTTATTCCTGCTTGCTCCCCGTTTGCATAGCCAACCGCACATAATTAAAGCAACCTAATCCCAAATAAAACCATGCGTAGAGGGCAATTTTAAGACATTGGTTTTATAAATAATGGTTAATCTGAGACAAGTAGTAAAAAAAACTGAGATTTTTTTTACCCGAACACATTGTATATGTATACTAATAGCTTATATACAGTAGATTAGGTATGGAAGAATGAAATGTACTGCTCATCTGCTGTTTCGATCATACATATAGCTCGGCAAATGATAGTAATCTATAACATTTATCGCCACTTTCAAGGATTCGTCATATATGTACACAATACACTTTGGAGCGCCAGTAAAAAAGAATTGTATTTCATACATGTACACTTTTTTGTCTCCATTTCTAAAACTTGAAAGACTGGGAATTGCCCAGTGCCCACTGAGAATATCTCCTTTCTATATTCATGCCATCAAATTTATTGTAAATTGAAGAGGCTGCATTTGTGCTGCATTAGGATAGCTTGTACCTACAACAATAAGATGTCAATATACCTTCTAAAACTCAGTAGCGTTAGGGTACGAAAAATAGTGTAGCTGCCTGGTCAAAGCAAGTTGTTAGTTTCTTTCATGTACACACATGCATCTCGTCTTGCTGGTGGTCATACCCATGATCATGTTGCTGCATATACATTGCTTATAATTATACATAGGGAAACCAAATATTCCCTTTTATTCATTGAAAGACAGTATTAACTTAGTTATTGTACTGCAGATATAAGCCTTTACTGTAACACTAAAATTGATTAGAATTTGAAAATACAAAACCGAGCAGAACATAGGCTGCAAGGCAAGGTCGACCCGTTCTCATGATCTAAAATCCGAAGAACCTATAGATATAACTAATTTCATCAGTCCGCACCAGAGCTTTTAAGTGAAAGCATATGTTGCATAGCTAAAGCAAATACTAGAGTAAATAAAGAACCTTCTAGTTGAGCATATGAATGCAAATTTTATAATGTGTGACAAAAAAACTAGTGAACCATAAAAACCTCAATTATTTGCAGCTAAACTAGCCTGAGACGAACTTATCCCAAGATGAACTTACAATTAAAGTGGACTCCTAGAAATGTTGGGGAGTGAGCTGTAGGATCTGGATTCGAGTTTTGGAGTTTAGGAGCAATAATCCATGTGTAGAGCATCAGCCAAGCTATCTGGAGATCATTGAATACAGCCTGGGACTAGTCAACAACTCCGAACAATTGGTGATCCATTGTCCTCCTGATGTCAACTGAACCAATGGTGTTACTGCTGCTAGGAAGTAGAAGCCTGTTGCAAAGTATCATGAAGAAGCATCTCTTCATGAGGGGGTTCACATTTCCCTTTAAGATCTCTTGTTGTAGGTTTGATATATGTATGTCACAATCTTTAGTGAGACTTTGGTTAAGATCATAGATAAGCTGCTGGCGAAATATGATACCTTCCTTCCATAAGTATTGCTTGAAGTTTTCACCACGTATAGGCAAACCAAGAACCATGTTAATTATTTGTGGGGTGATCGGAATGACCTTGCCTGCACCAATCCTAATTAGCATACGATCAGGGTCAGTGTGGTCTAATAGCCAGGTTAGCGGATTCTTGTTCTCTACGGCATCGATCTTCATTCTCAGCAAATGACCAAACCCATCAGATTCGATAGCAGCATATTGTTGTGGGTTCAACAACTTAGTGGTGAAAATAACATCTCTGGGATTGCACCGAACATTTACAATGGAAGAACGGCTGGTAGCTCTCTTTTTCCTTTGTCTTGCCTCGGACAAATAACAAGAATTTTAGAAATAGTAAGGACAAGAATGGATAAAAAAGAAGAGACACTCGGAATTCTGAGAAGCACGGTAGTAATGATAAACTGATGCATGGGTAGCCGAGAAGAAGACAGATTTATAAAAAAAACTAATAATTGGGAAAATGGATGTAGGAATGATAAACTAATGCAGGGGTAGTGTAGTTGAAAAAATTTTGCAGGGGTAGTAGAAAGCAAAACAGATATAGAAAATAGAGATTTGGCAACAAAGACATGATAGTAGATTTGTGGTATATTGAAGGAAAAAACAAACTAGTGATACATACGAAGAGGAGCTTTAGAATGATAACTCTTATGAAAAGAAAGTGCAGAAGTAAATAAATGGTATACACCTCTGTACATGCACCAGTCGACAATCCTGCTCGTGTTTGTCTAGTTTTCCTCGGACCAACATCCTTAGATTTGTCGATGTGTGAGGATGAACGGGTGTTGGGAATGGGCATGAAGTCGTCGTCATCACTGTCGTGACCAGCCGCAGAAGGCAACACATGCTCTGGTCGAATATGATGCTCAAACCTAAAAAAAGGCCACGAACAGATAAACTTTAACAACAGACTAAGAATTAACATTAATCTGTGATTCTCGGAAATAAATAGAATTATAATAAATTGAAACACGTATGAACCTCTCCTGCGAGCTCTCAAAAACCACCCTCTTAAGGTTACACGGGACCCTATCCACAGTACGCTGAGCAGCATGAGTCCTACAAACAAATAGAAAAAAATGATCCATGAACTTTTGGGAAAAAAATAAAACCAGGGGTATGGTTAAATAGGAGATAGGAGAAGGAGATTTTTGTGTAGCATGTTAGTACAGAATATACAAATTGGAAGAGTACACTGATATGCCTCAGACAATTATGATTGGTGGGAAATTTGGTACACAAGATTGTAAGAAAACAATACCTTCTCTGAGAGTGGTCACGGGAAGTAGGTGCTACCGCATGGTTCTTAGAAGGGGAATGCCTTGCATCTGAATACCAAAAGGACCAGACAAGGAAAATAATAAACAACAAAGGTAGATGGTTTTAAAGAATAGAAAAATCTTGTGAGATAACTGCAGAGATACATTACACATACACATGGCTGAAAAGATAAATTAGATTACCACTATTACCACTAGTATTCCTACTGCTACAGAGTCCATAACTACCACTAGTAGTTCAAGCATATTTAGTTGCAGCATTAGATTAAGCGGATAGACACAACTCATGTGAAAAATGCTAAAATGAACCATACAGAATGCATACTGAATCACTGAATGTGTGCACGACCTAAACAGATTACTTATTTTAACTATGCATTAAATTTGTAAATAATCAGGGCTTAAGTGCCATCTACCTGAACACCCTCTTGGAACTTGAATTGTTCTTTTTTTTGTAAAAAACATTAGCACAAATAAGAAAGAAGCATAAATACAAGTCCATCTCCAGTAATATCTATATCTGTATTTTTGTCATCATATTTAAATTAGTTTATCATATTTTCTTTAGATAAACACCTATCTTTGATCTAGATTCTAAAGAATATTTTGACCTATTGATCAAGATATCTTGAAAATTCTCTCTATAATATCAATAGCCTTGTATTTTTCCTACAAATCATCAGAATTCCAATTTAAGATAGTATGAAAGTGGAATCAGGAATAGTAGGATAGTTGTCTGCCATTTGATTAATAATTTCTGATCATGTACACAGTTTAGTACTTTTTCATTTTATAAATTGTGCTCTAAACACATAGTTAAATTCAGAATAGCAGCACAGGCATTTAGAACATAGATGGAGGAACGCATAGTTGCATATGGAATAGTCCACACAAACATGTTGCTTAACTAAGTCTAATAGTTGCCCCCCAATGGATGAGGGATGATCAAACATAAACAGTTGAACACACATGATTGAAGCTCTTAATTTATGACAATATGATAATATGCTAATTCGATAAACTGGAAATCAGATAGATGGACAGCAAATTGACTTTTAAAAATCTAGAGTACCTTTTGATGATGAGATCAAGTGATAAAATTCAAAGATGACACTCCATATAGATCTTGATGAGATTGTTAAGGTCCTCTAAACAAACAGACAAGCGGACATTCAGAAAGTCACCTATAAAATAATCTTATACCTATAAAAATTTAGTGATTAACAAGTTCAGTATTATTTTGATAGAAGTTGACAGTTTCAATTTTGTTTAGTTTTTGTGACAGATACAAAAATGGGATCCTAATAAAATATGTAGATTTCACAAGCAGTGGTATTATAATGCTAATGCTACTTCTTATCTGATGGGGAAACATTCTGCCATATCAGATAGCAATTTCAGCATTACAAGACGTGTTAGTGGTAGATAGCAAGAAAAAAAATTCATAACTTCGAATGGGCTGTCACAAGCCATCAACTAAAGGGGCCCAACATGTGTGAACTCATCGGCTCAAAAGGAAATAGAAAAAGGCAGACCAAAATGTGGGCGACCTCACATTGCAGGCTTGCACAGGCCACAGAGCTGCTACACAAGGTAACCATGATAGCAGTCACCGGCTCACATCTCCTTTCCGCGGTCCACCTCATGAGTCCACTCTTTCATCTGCTGACACCTGCATCAACACCACAGTCTAAAATGTGACATTGAAACTTTTGATTTCTAAGAATATATGTAACCTCAAATAAAAATACATATGTTGTAATGTAACTAATTGTTTTAAAAATTGGAGTGGGAGAGTCCCGGCCTTTCAAAAAGGCTTAAATGTTGGTACCTACTAGAATTGAACTCACAGCCTCAAAGAGCAGCACTCTAGCCTGCCTCCTATGACCAGCCGACCACACAACCCTCCGTCAATGTAAATGTGTTTTCAATGAAGAATCCAGAAGTACTAATTCTATTTTCTCAATCCACACAGTAATTGACATATTTAATGATTAATTAAATTGACTATTTGACCAACAGAGATGAGATCCTACAACTTGTAGTTGGAATCTGAGGGAGAAAAGATCAAGGTTCGATATCTAGTTCGTTATTGCCAGCCAAAGGAGAACTTCAAACATATTCACATGGATGCAGAAGGCAAAACGTTAATCCTTTATACATGTGCAATCGAAAGTGCCATTGACAGTTGTTAAATGCAGGACAACTATATGGTTCAGCTACCAAGCATTAGCATGTCATTTTCAACCAGGAATGCTACATATAAATAAATACAGTAGTTACCAAATTAGAATAATAATCCGTCACTTCTGGCCTTACTGAGTCCATATCCCTTTAATTTACATCTGGCTTGTACCTATAAGAAGATAAGAAATAATAGATAAACAACTCCGAGAATCCTTCCCAACTACCTACAAATCAAACTGTCAAAAATCTCTTCCAAAAACTACCCAACCATGCTCCTTTGCCAGTTGGAATATTCCCACACACTATCTTGAGCTGATTAACTATGATTGAATTAACAATTTTCAAACCTGAGAAGAAATGAATAGAAGCTCTCAAACACAAGGCAAACTACCAATAACCAAAGACAAAAGAGTGTACCATAAAGACCCTGTGGGACACATATTCAATATGAGAAACAAGCATAGATTTATCATCATTATTCATTATTAGTGATTTCATTGAATTGAAAGACATAAAAAAACTAGGCATTCTATGGTAACATATAGCAACTACAACATAATGGGAAGTGGCAATACCAGCTAAAAAATGTATTCCAAAGTCCACAGTGCAAGGCAGATGCAGCATGCAGTAAACATTTTGGGAATCAATGCAGTTGGAAAGCGATTTCGGCAAGGCACCCCTTAGCACCATGTGATTATGCAAACAGCTATGTCACTCTCATGGTGCAATTGCGCACAAGCAGACTACTACGACATGACACTCAAGATTGTCTCTGGTGCTTTCCATCGAGCATATGATGAGCAATTTAGTCGAACACATGCACGCACACAGGCGAGATACGACGTAACGGATGAGCAACGGAAGGACAGGCGAAGTTGAGATTTGCTCACCTGGTGCGGATCTCGGCAGAGTCCTGATCTGGGAGGAGCTCCAGCATGCCGTCTAAGGCGCAGTTGGCATCCTCGTCCGCGTACACGAGCAGGCGCACTGACCTCAAGCCAAAACAAGAGCACACGCGAATCAGGGCTCCTCCACCTTGGATCTGCGAGGAGTGAGAGAGAGAGGAGTTTAGGGCGGGAGAGATAGGGCCAGGGCTCACCTGCTCGCGCCGCCCCCAATAGGGTCGGCCGCCTCGTTCGCTCGCGCTGCCCCCTCACCTGCTCACGATGCCCCCGATAGGGCCAACAGTAGACCACAGACCATGGAACCCGTGCGCTCGCCTAGGAGCGGTAGGCGCAAGACGGTGAAGCAGCACCAGCGCTACGGCGAGGGCGCGGACGGGCGGCGCGCTATGTCTGCGGTCTAGATGATGGCACACATCGCTGGGCAGCGGTGCGGCGGAGCGAGATGCTGGGGCACGCCGACGGCACCCGGCACGGCGGAGCGCCAGGCGACGGCGGTGGTAGGGAGAGGGAACGGACGGGCGGTGCCGGCGGAGGGAGGGGAGGAGGTGACCGAGCCGATGGGGTCTGGAACCGCAAAGAAATCGTGGGTGGGTGGGGGGAGCTTAGGAGCTGCTGCTCGACCTCTTCGGTGGGTGGGCCGGGCCTGTGAGCCTCAGGCCCGAACGGCGAGGTGGGCCTGTTTGCTTGTCTAAATAGTACGCTGGGTACTGAATAATTATTTGGTAACCAGGTACCATATAGTAATAATATATATATATAAAAGCAAATGTCTGTCCCGTCTGCCACAGCAGTTTTCGTCCGACCTCCGTCCGCTCTGACCCCTTCGCTCCCGCGTCGACCGCACCCACACCCACTCGAGAACTCGATCGTCTGGCCGACGCACGACGTACTGTCCCCTTCCCCCGCGCGGCCACGCACGACTCCTACACCTCCCGGCCAGTCTGATGGCGCTGCGGGGCGCCGGGGTGGAGGGCATCATGGTGGATGTGTGATGGGGCGTGGTGTAGCGGGAGGGCCCCGGCCGCTACAACTGGGAGGCTACGCCAAGCTTGTGTGCGCATGGTCGAGCACGCCGGCCTCCGCCTCCAGGCCGTCATGTACTTCAGTATTTGTTTTATCTTCCTCAGGTTAGTGATAGTATTTTTGTGTTGATTGAACATCCATTGGATTTTCATAAGGTTGCTTGAAGGAAACTAATTAATTATCTTCGGTTTGGTTTAATTTCGAAACACTGCATGTACCCTGTATTTAAATGGTGTATCATCGTGTGCTTATAAGTTGGTTGTATCTGTTTATGATCTTCTCCTTAGTCTGGAAAGAAGAAATCAAGTTCATACATTTTGGAAATGTTAAACTACCAGAAGAAATTGACCGGTGAACACTTTGGGAATTGTGATGCCGTGGCAGTAAAGTGTATGGAGCCTGCCAGTGGGTGCAAGGGAGGAGGAAAGGTGTAAACATGATCCTGACGTTTGATGAATCTTTTTTTTAAACAAAAGTCAGGAGCTCTGCCGCTCAATTAAGACGAAAGAAAGTAATAACGTGCAAGAAGGTTAGCCAACCGAGTAGCCAAAATGGCACCCGAGGGGCTAACCACCCCACGCGACGCGATTGAGCATAAACACGACACACTGCCATGGATCATCGTTGCCGAGCATGGAAGCAAAGCTGCCAGCAGCTTGGACTTCCCATGGCAGGCCACCCACTGGTCACCTCCCGACGGGTCCAAAGGAACGACCGCCACCGGTCATCATTGCCAAGCTCAACCCACGAAGAGCAGCTCCGACTTCCGGTCGCAAACCCATGCCTCGCATCGAGGCCGCGGCGATAATCCAGATGCGACGCCTTCAGGAAGGGAGCGACGCCGATGGCGCCACCGTCCCACGTCCAAAGTAGACCGGGTTTTCACCCTTGGATGACATGCTAGAGGGGAACACGACGCCCCAACAGGAAAGCGGCGCCCAATGGCGTCGCCGTCGCCAAGGCTTTCGCCCAAGAACCCTCTAGCACGAACGCCGGGTCGCGAAGCCGGACCCCCTACCAGCCAACACCGCCATCATTGCTGTC